CCAGCAACATGTACCCCAGCAGACCCCTAGGGGCCTGGGTGCTGCCAGTGGGCAGATTCATTCAATGCCCGACCTCTTACAACTAAAAAGGCAGCAGACAAGGGGGCCTTGAAGATGACAATCGATTTTCTTCTTTAGGAAATACAAGGTGCTGGGTTCTGCTATTTCTCTCCCAACACCATCCTACAGGTACAAAACCTGGGACTTTGAGCAAGGCCAGGTCAAAGAGCTCGTGGGTGTGGAATCCACTTCCTACCCCTCCCCCACTCCTCAGCAACCTACTCTGCAGGACAGAGTCGTTTGCCCTCCACTGCCAGCCCAGAGCAGCTCACATGTGCTTTCAGATGGCCTTTTGGGTCTGACTCCTCAGTCCCTTCTCTTTGGCATTTCCCAGCCTCTTCATTTTCTCCCAAATTACCTCCCAGGCACCTGTTCTTGCCTCCTCTACTTCCCTTCCCTTCTGTGCGATCCTCGATCCCCTCCCAAAAAGGAGGCCCAGCCCTCCTGCAGGTCCCCTCCCATCCACCTTCACAAGTGACCTGCCTGGACCTTCATCCATTTCCGTTCCTCTTCACAGAAGCTTTCTGGGTCATAACTCCCCTGGGCTGATAAAAATTTAATAGGACTGTACCACTTAATTTTAAAAAACTTCTACACAAACCTCTAGGGTAATTCCAACAGCTACCCATTAAGGCAATCAGGGCAGCTGACAACTGTCCATTTTCAGAGGGAAAAGAGTGTGGGAGGGAGGGAGAAAGAGAAATAAAAAGATTCCAATACTGATCCTGGGTCAGGATCTATGAGATGGGAATCAACGCTCGTTAAAGGCATCCCTGTGGGCTGGGCACAGTGGCTTATGCCTGTCATCCCAGCACTTTGAGAGGTCGAGGAGGCCAGGAGTTTGAGACCAGCCTGGACAACATGGTGAGACCCCACCTCTACAAACACTTGTAAAAATTAGCCGGTGTGCTGGTGTGCACACCTGTAGACCCAGTTACTTGGGAAGGGGGGCGGATCTCTTGAGCCCAGGAGTTTGAGGTTGCAATGAGCTATGATTGGGGCACTGAACTCTAGCCTGGGCACACAGAGACAAAAACAAAAGCATACCAGGGCTTTGGAGAAGCAATGGATTAGAAGTTTGGCGGCAGCCAGGTGTGGTGGCTCAGGCCTCTAATCCTAGCACTCTGGGAGGCCGAGGCGGGAGGATAGCTCGAGGTCAAGAGTTGGAGACCAGCCTGAGCAAGAGCGAGATCCCGTCTCTACTAAAAATAGAAAGAAATTACCGGACAACTAAAAAGATACAGAAAAAATTAGCCAGGCATGGTGGCACATACCTCTAGTCCCAGCTACTTGGGAGGCTGAGGCAGTAGGATTACTTGAGCCCAGGAGTTTGAGGTTGCTGGGGGCTAGGCTGACACC